CTTAATGGTGCCGTCTGGTGCACCGACGATGAGCTCCTGACGTGATTCATGCACTCCCAGGGCTACGCCGCTCTCCCATCTTGCTTCGAGATCGCTGCGTCCCGTTTTCGGGTGGCATGTGGCACGATGAGCTTCCCATGGTCGGGCGGCGCCGCGGCGAAGTTGCCCCCTCGGCGCCTCTCGCGGGCCGCCTCGCCGCCAGCGCCAATTGCAATCTGGCTGATTAAAGAAAAATGCGCCAGCAACGATCAGAGGCGCGGGCGCTTGCTCTTCTCCGAACTCCACCCTGTGCCCGTCGCCCCAAGGCGCTCCTCTTACGTCTGGAGCTGTCATTTTGCGTGCGCCATTGCCCCATGCGGCCTCGCCGCTTGCCGGGGGAACTCCGGCGGCGCTAACCTCCGCGGTAGATGGCGCGCCACCACTTTCGAGGGCAACTTTCTCGCGGCTCGGGGAACAAACGAAAGAACGTCGCGCATCACCTCGGCCGAATGCGGGCCCCCTTCCTTCCAAAGTAAAGCGCGAGTCCACGTTGGCTGGGTGCCCCGGCGTCGCGCGACAAACGCGGGGCCCCCCTCTTCCTTCCTACTGACCATCCCCCTTCTTCTTACCACTTCACCACGTGTAATCGATGTATTCGCTGGCGTTCCCTGCCCCGGTGATCCTAACCATCCCTTTACACGCCGTCCCTCCGATTTCCCTCTAACGCACCTGGGGGCCCAGCTTCGGCGCGGCAACTTTCGTCGCGAAGTTCGACCGCTTCCGCGCTCGGCCTCAAATCGCGCGCAGTTCGGTTTGGCGCTCCATCATCGTCTCCCGCGCGCAGGGCCATCGACGCGCCTTCGCTCGCTGCCCCCGCCGCCGCCTGCTTTTACCGCCCGCTAAGTTCATTCTGATTTGATAACGACTAAGCCTTACGGACAACGCGGGTCTTGGGGCCCCCTACCTGGGGAACACCTCTGGCTTTTCACAGCTTGCATATAATGTGCGCCTCGCCCAATCCTGACTCGGGGGCCCTCTCAAGGCTCGGATGGCGAAAATGAAAATTCCGTTCTTCTCGCGGGTCGCCATCTGCCCCGTTGCCGCGCGTCCAGGATGACAGCGGGCTCGCCCGCCGGCGCCTCGACCCAGCGCCGCGCGGTTTCCAACTTCGACCATTTCGCGCGCAGGCCCGAGTACCCTGTCCATATCAAATACCTGGACGGTGATACTCACGATAGATTCCATCACTTGTTTGCCCCGCTATAACTTGTTACCCCTGGTTCCTGGTGGCTGACCCATTCGCCGCGCTGAGCTGCGCCCCGTCCCGGGATGCTTCCGCCAGTATAGCGGGGGCGCGAGTCCCGCGTTTGGATGCCCAACAGCGCCGTGGACTCCTGTGTCCGCAGTGATAGCGATGGCTCCCGTCCCACTCGCCGTTCTGGCCCCTCGCTGACTTCTTGCCTGGGCCCCTCCATGTCCACCGCGTGTAGCACGGCGCATCTGGGCGCCCCGCGTTTCTCCTGCCTGACGCACTCCGGAATTAAGGTGCCCAAATTGCTGCCGTAGATGCAATTCACGCCGCACTCGCGTGACCCATACTTTCTCTCGTTGCCTAAACTTAGCTCCGCGTTCTGCCTCTTCGTCTCCCGGCGCTGCATTCTCCGCTCTAAGGCTCCTTTAGCAGGCGCCGGCGCTTTGACGCCGCGGGCGGCCCCGCTTCTGCCGGCGGCTCGGCCCATTTCAACGCTGTGGCCTCCCGGCCCAGGCAGCGGCTGTCTTCGCCGTTGCGCGGGCCCTCGTGGACCTCCTGCCCCCCCTTGGCCAAGGGCAACATCGCTGGCGTTTTTGAAGCAGCGGGCAGCTACGTGGCCCTCCTCTTCAAATTTGTAGCACTCCCTTTCGCAGCTCGGCGCAAGCCCGCCTTGACCTCCCCCGTGTCCATCCTGGGCCTTGACTTTCTTGGTGACCTCCCTAGTTGTTGCCTCCGGGGGGACCCCTGGTGCTCTCTGGCAGCCCCCCTTGTGTCCTCCTGCTCGCATCCCTTGGTGGCCCCTGGCGCTCTTGCATTGCCCCTGTCCACCTCCTTGTCCTTTCGCGGTTCCTTTCGTGGCGCAGCCCTTGACGCCGCGTCCGCACCCTCCGCGCATGTCACGCATGGGTCCCTCGAATTCGCCCTTCCCTCGCTCACTTCATTCACGTTGCCTTTTCCGCTCGTGCCCTCCGCGTTCCAAGTCCACCGATAACCGCTTTCAATATAACGTCAATAACCTGCGCCGTTGCCCCGGCCACCACTGCCCCCATCGCTAAAAGTGCCAATTGTCATGGAAAGGTCGTTCCTTGCATCGGCGTCCAATGTTTTCTTGCCAAATCTTCGCCCTGAGCAGCGAGCGCTGGCAGGTACCCCAGGTTTCGCGGTTCCGGTGTCTCGAAGCAATCCCGCTGCCAATCGTCGAACCATTCGCCCGCGTGAATCATGATGATCCAGAACGGAGTGGCCCTGGATGGCGCTGGCAACGAGCATGCAGGCCCGCACTTCCCGGCACTCTACTTCCAAGGCGCCCACGCGGTTCAAGTGCTGTGGCCTTTCAGGGTTCAACTTCTGGGCCTTTCAAAGCTAATGGCCAGGTTTATATTGTGTGAGAGCGTGACCCCACTAGCGTCGCAATATCTTACGACAAGCCATCAAGCCGTCTCTGAGCTTTCCACGGAGACCCGTCCCCTCCAACATGTTCTTTAACAAATACTCGTCCAACTTGGCATACTCGTCTTCCTCAAATTCAGATTCCCTTTGTGCGTCGTCTTTTTTGATTCTTGATTTGCGACGCCTTGGTACACTCGCCCACTTTTAATCTTCCGTTCATGATCTTTATCATACCATCCTCGTCGTCACTGGGTAACGCTCTATCCAATAGTCCGAGATTGTTGTTCAAGCTCTTCAGGGATTTCTCATAACCGCTTGTCACGTGGGCGACTGTGATCAACAGTTTTCCGCTCCACTCCTTGAACTTGAGCCTGTCATCCGAGAACGGTTTTAACTTTTGAGCCGCCTTGCATTTGCTCACGGGCTTGTGCCTTCCTCCACCAGCCCTGGTGCTTCTAGCTGGCTGTATTTCCCCAGCGATATCGGCAACATGCTCTGATGCGTCCCATTGATGTTGGAGCTCTCTCCTCACAGGGCTTTCAACGTTGCTGAACCGTCCCGCGCAGTACATTTTTCGGTCGGCAACAAAGATCAGGAGGGCATTCATGTTGTAGACTATCCGCAACCTTGTGAGCGCCTCGTCGTTGCCAACCGTACTGGTGTCGTATGTAGCGCCGCGCTCGACAAGCAACTCCATGCCTTCATGATTGGCATGGAACGCTGTCTTGTTACCATCTACGACATTTCCGTTACCGCAACCGGCATTGCACAATTCCGGGAATTGGCTCGTGCTCAGGTTGTACCAGGCCTCTCGGATTTCGGGTAAGGTCACATCGAAATCTGGGTCGGTTGCGCCAAGGTTCGGTGGGGCCGCCGCGGCTGCCGCTGCGGAGGCTGCGGGAAGGTAGGCGCCTCGAGGGACTAATCACGCACACTGGAACCACTAGGGCGAACCACGGGTTCCGCTGCCATGGAAATGTGGCAGGAGCCTTTTTTTGTTCCCTGGCACCTAATGAGACTTGGACAAAACACCAACTTTACAAATCCTCTGATATCTGACTGATGCAGCTACACGAATGCTACAGCCCCACGGGCCGATCCTGCTCACTCAATCGGAACGCTACAATGTCACACATTATCCCTCTCCTCCTCCTCCACCTCCTCCTCCTCCTTCTGCAATCCGTTCCCCCGCTGCGGCTTCTCTACTTCTGTGATGCCGTGAAGACGAAGGCGGGCGAGCAGGGGGGGAAACTGGGGGAGCAGGAAGATGGCGAGGGGAAAAAGGAGGAAGGTGGGATCAGTAGGGTATGCGGCGGGGTAGGAAGAGGAACCGTACGTAGGAGGAGGCGGACACGGTGGACGGGGGCGGGGGAGGAAGAAAAGGTGGATGAGCAGACGGAAGCGAAGGAGGAACGGTGAGCGGTGGGCGAGGGGGGGGTTTGGGCAAGGGAGCGGGAAAGTTGGATTTGCATCGGTATATCCTCCGCCTCCTTCTCCTCCTGTTCCTCTTGCTCTTCCTCCTCCTCCTCCTCCTCCTCCTCCTCCTCCTCTTCCCTCGTCGTCGTCTTCGTCCTCGTCCTCCTCGTCGTCTTCCTCCTGTTCCTCCTGCTCCTGCTCTTGCTCCTGCTCCTGCTCCTTTTCGTCCTCCCTCCTCCTCCCCCTCCTCCTGGTCCTCCTTCTGCAATTCCCTTTCCTCCTCCTCCTCCTCCTCCCTCCTCCCACTCCTCCTGATCTTCATCTTCCCTTTCTCCTCCTCCTCCTCCTCCTCCTCCTCCCTCCTGCTGCTCTGCTCCTGCCTTCCTCGTCCTCTTCCTCTCCTCCTCTCCTCCTCATTCTCCTGCTCGTCGTCCTCCTCCTCCTCCTCCTCTTTTCTCTCCTCCTCCTCCTCCTCCTGCTCCTCCTCCTCCTCCTCTTCCTCCTCCTCCTCCTCCTCCTCTGTTTCCTCCTCCTCCTCCTCCTCCTCGTCCTCGTCCTCCTCATTATCCTCCTCGTCCTCCTCGTCCCGCTCCTCCTCCTCCTCCTCCTCGTTGTTGTCCTCGTCCGCGTCCTCGTCCTCGTCGTCGTCCTCGTCGTCGTCCTCGTCCTCTTCTCGTCCTCGTCCTCGTCCCCTTCGTCATCCTCGTCACGTCCTCTTTCTCCTCCTCGTCGTCTTCTTCGTCCTCCTCCTCGTCCTTGTCCTCGTCCTTGTCCTCGTCCTCGTCCTCGTCGCCGTCCTCGTCCTCTTTCTCGTCCTCGTCCTCCTCGTCCTCCTCGGCCTCCTCGTCCTCCTGGGCCTCCTCGTCCTCCTCGTCCTCTTCGCCCTCCTCAACCGCCTCGTCCTCGTCTTCCTCCTCCTCCTCCTCCTCCTCCTCCTCCTCCTTCTTCCCCTCCTCGCGCCGACCTGCGCGCCCTTCCACCAGCGCCACGCTCCTCTCCACAGCGCCCCGCCCTCGCTGGCGCCCGCGGGTGCCACCTGCGCCGGCGCCTCCGGGGCGGGCAGCGCGTCGTCCTCGGCCAGCAGCTGGCGCAGGAGCCGCTGCCGCCCGCCCTCGGGCGTCTCGTCGGCCCGGCTCGCGCCTCCCTCGGCGCGCTCCGCAGCACGCTCCTCGGCGCCCTCACCCCGCCTTTTCCAATTGCCCGTCGTCGTCGTCGTCGTCGTCGTCGTCGTCGTCGTCGTCGTCCGTTGTCCGTCGCCGCCGTCGTCGTCTAGGTGTTCGGCAGGAACAGCCGACCGCTTGTTAGAACCTGGAAAAAGTATCCGCCACTGTGCCCTTGTGGGTGGCACGAAGCGGAGTGTCCTCAGGTCCTTTGCCTCATCCACTGAGCCTCAGGAGGTCCTCGCACCTCCGGAAACTTTACGGGGCCCCGACCCCAATTTCCCCTATCGCATCGTGTTAGATTAGCTTATCGCCGATCCGCCAATTGGCCTCAAAGCACGCGCGCCGACTCTCGGAATGCATCGCGTCGGATTCGCGGAGCGCCGCCCCGCTAATTGGCCTCAAGACATGCGCGACGATTGCCAAAGTGATCCGAGTTGGATTAGCGGAGCGTCGTTCCGCTAATACGCCTCAAAACATGCGCGCCGAACCGGCCATTCCCAGAGTGCTCCGCGTCGGATTCGCGGGACGCCGCTCCGCTAATTGGCCTCAAAGCATGCGCGTCGCCATTGCTTGCGTCGCACCTGCCTCCAAGAGTTTCCCGAAAGGCTTCCCGCGATATCCCAACGAACATCCACGAGGCCTCGCCCCCTAAGAGGCCCTGAGAAGCCCCTAAGAGGCCCCAAGGATGGGCCGAAGGCCATTCGACAATAGGAAGCCCCAGCATACCCACGAAAGGCATGTTCGTAAGGTACTGGACGAAGAAACTGGCCATGACAACAGGATGCCAAGAAATCCCTGTGGCATGGGAGATAGACCCCAAAGCGTCGCCTGGAGTAGAAATGGGAACGATAGCTGCAGAAAACACCCACTCCCTGCAAGCAGACGCGGGCAACCAGTCCTGGCTCCCCGCCGCACCCCGCGACTCCTCGACATCCTCGGCGCCCGCGCTCGGCGCCCGGTCGCCAGGCCGCCCAGAGGCAAGATGCCTCCCAGCGTCAGGAGCGCCGTCGGACGCGGGCTCCACCTCGGATGGCGCTCCGCTGCCTTCCGGGGCCTCCAGCGGCTTCCCGCACCAGCGCTTGCCGCGGCGAGACACGGCGCCCTCGCCTGGGAGAACACCAGTAAGCCGTCTCCCCCCATCCTGGCCAGGCGATCCTCGACCCAGGACTTGCTCAAGCGCACTGCTGGTCCGGCCAGGATGCGACATGCACCGATACTGCAGGAGAACGAGGAGGAGGGCGAGGAGGAGGAGGAGGAGGAGGCCCTCGCTGGTGTGCACAATGTGGTGGGAGAGGGGGAGGAGGCGAATGCTTGAAGTGTCATAGCTCAAGGGACCCTTAGCCCCCCTGGTTGGACCAGAGGCTTGTTGCACTACCTTGCTGTGCCGCCCGAGGACGGGACATGTCCTGCCTGGGGGCAGTGCGGCCAAGGGGATCACATTCGAAGACCCCTTTAGGCTCCAGCCCTTGCGGGCAAATGGTCTCCCCTCGGCCGCTTCGCTCGCGCCGACCAGGGAGTCCAGGAAATAAGTTGTCCGCCAAGCGCCCTTGCAGACAAATGGTTTTCCCGAGGCTTTTCGGCTCACGCCCAATCGCGCAATGCAGAGACATGTCAAGGTATCGCAGGCAACATGGACCCCGCTCCGCGAAGATCACCCTCTTTACTAGGGGCTGGGGCCTTCAAACACCTCGCGCTTCAAAACGCCGCTGCCTTTTCTAAGAGGAGGGGATGCTCACTCTCTGTCCTCATCTCCCAGATCAAGGACGATGGGCATATTTTCAAAGGGCGGGCAAACGTGCTCGAGTGCATAGCGCAACCCTCCATGCGAGGGCGGGGTGCCCTTGCCTATCCATCGACAGGGATTGGCATCCTGGTTTTCTCTAGGCGCCAGGAGTTCAACGACGCCCACAACACAACGTCAATTTCGAACGCTGCCGCTCCCGCAACAGCTGCGGGCCAAGCTTCTCGGAAGCCCAACGACGCCTTCTTTGTGGGGGCGGGATGCCCATGCCCGTCCATCAACATGGATGGACATCCTACCTTTTGGTCGGGCATGTCCCCCTACAGGCGGATATTGGACGACAGATGAAACATACTTTAAACAAACTCAGGACTAGTCAAACAAATACTCGGGAAATCGTCCCCAGACTTTTTACATAATTTTTGAATACTCACCCTGTAGAGGGACGGGCCCGACTTAACTTTAGGCATGAAGACCGAGTGCCCGATCCTGTCCCTCGACTGGGACGGGCGATTGTAATGACAAGGGTGACCATTCCGGCACACGTGGCCTCAACGGAACTCCGCCATTGGGGGAATAGACGAGCGCGTTCCGCTACTCGCAAAGTAGCTACTCGCAAATGGCCTGGATCCGCCGCGGGGGATCTACGATACATTACATCGAGCAGACATTTGTTTTTCGGGCGTTTGCGAAGAGGCACTTTGCGAGTAGTGGAACGCGTTCGGTGAGAAAACGGCCCATGATGGGCCATACCCCTGGACGGCCAAGTGTCCGGCATGAGTGCCGGGTGGTTCGCGCAAAGGTGACCCTCCGAACATCTCTGGGCAGGAAGGGGGATTCTTACCTGGATGAAGGCCCTCTTGCGCCCCTCTTGGGGCTCGTTCTATACCCAGGCCTTCCAATCCTCATCTTCTGCTGAGGGTCAAAGTTCCCTCATCTGCGAGATGTGGATTTGATTGGCCCGCATGTACAAGGTGAGCTCCCCATGTTTGCGATGCCCGCTGCCGCGCATCCCAGAAGCTAGGCAGAGACAGCACACGAGAGTGCCAGGAGGAGGAGGAGGAGGAGGAGGAGGAGGAGGAGGGAGAGGAGGAGGAGGAGGAGGAGGAGGAGGAGGAGGAGGAGGCGGAGGACGAGGAGGAGGAGAGGAGGAGGAGGAAGAGGACGATGAAAGGAGGATGAAAGGAGGAAAGGAGGAGGAGGAAGAGGAGGAGGAGGAGGAATGGAGGAGGAGGAGGAGGAAAGGAGGAGAGAGGAGGAAGGAGGGAAAGGAGAGGAAAGGAGGAGAAAGGAGGAGGGAGGAGGGAGGAGGAAAGGAGGAGGAAAGGAGGAGCGGCGGCGGAGGAGGAGGAGGAGGAGGAGGAGGAAGAACCCCGACTTAGCCTGGCCGAAGATGGTGTCTGTGTGCCAATGGCGTCTCCCGGTCGCCCTCTGGCTGGGCGTCCTGCAACCCGCGCTCCTGCTGCGCCTGCGCTGCGCTGGCGTCGCCGGCCTCGCCCGCCAGTCGCACCTGCTCTCCTCATCATTCACCGTCTCCTCCTCCGTCTCCCCCCATCCTTCTCCTCCTCCTCCTCCTCCTCCACCTCCTCCTCCTCCTCCTCCTCCCCCTCCTCCTCCTCCTCCTCCTCCTCCTCGCCTCCTCCGCCTCCTCCTCCGCCTCCTCCGCCTCCTCCCCCGCCTCCTCCTCCTCCTCATCATCATCATCATCACCATCATCGTCATCCTCATCCTCATCCTCATCCTCATCGCCATTATCATCATCATCATCAGCACCAGCAGCACCACCATCATCATCATCATCATCATCATCATCATCATCATCATCATCATCATCATCATCATCATCATCACCATCACCATCACCATCACCATCACCATCACCATCACCACCACCATCACCACCATCATCTTTATCATCATCATCATCACCACAATCACCATCAGGCATTTATCATCACCATCGTCATCAACAGTAGCACCACCATCATCATCATCATCGTCATCAGCATAATCAGCATCGTCATCATCATCATGATCATAGTCATCATCATCAGCATCATCATCATCGTCATACTCATCACCATCATCGTCACAAGCATGATCATCATCAGCAGCAGCATCACCATGTGCATCTACAGCTACATTAGCATCATCGGCATCATCATCATCCTCATCCTCATCATCACCATCATCGTCATAAGCATGATCATCACCAGCAGCATCACCATCACCATGTGCATCTACAGCTAAATCATCATCATCATCGGCATCATCATCACCATCCTCATCATCATCATCATTATCATTAGCAGAACCAGCAGCAGTAGCAACATCAACATTATAAACATCGTCATCATCTGTATCCTCCTCCTCCTCCTCTTCCTCCTGTTCCACCTCCTCCTCCTCCTCCTCCTCCTCCTCCTCCTCCCTGAACCTCGGGATCGTCCGGCAAGGCCGCCAGTTCCCGCTTGGCGGTCTCGCACAGTGGCGGCGGTGGTGGCGGCGGCGCCTTGGCCGCGGCCGCAACGGCAGCCGAAGCCTTCCAACGCCGGGACTTGGCCGCCGCTGCAGCCATGTTGTCGCGGAAGATCACCTCGCAGTGGGGATGCAAACGCCCCTCCTTAGACATAAGCTCGCCGTCACCAGGAAGCGGGCACTGGCACAATATGGGGTCTGGAGAGTGAGCTGAAGGGATCAGCTTTCAAGGGAGAGGAGCAGGAGGATGAAGTTGAGGTGGAGCAGATGAGGCACGTAGGAGGGGGGGGGAAGAGGCCAATGAGGAAGAGGCGGAGGAGCACGGACGACGAATGCGAGGACCATGGCGAGGCGATTGATGAGGAGACGGATGAGCAGGAGGCCGACGTGGAGGTGGAAGAGGACGCGGACGAGGACAAGAGGATGAGAGGAGGCGGCGGAGGGGGGGGAGGCCGCGGCCCCCCCTCCACCTCGGGGTCGTCCAGCGCAGTCGCCGGATCCCGCTTGGCGGCCTCGCTCGCGGTGAGGGCATCACTGCCCAGGGCACCGATGGCGGCGGAGTAGGCGGTCAGGCTCACGTGGCCCCACTCGCCCTGAAACTCTCAGTCTCCCCGCTCCTCCCCCCTCCCTGCTCCTTGCCCCTCCTCGTCCTCCTCCTCCTCCTCCTTTCCCGTCCTGTCCGCCCTCCTCTTCCTCTTCCTCTTCCTCTTCCTCTTCCTCTTCCATTTCCTCACTCACTCACTCATTCACTCACTCACTCCTTGTTCTCCTCCTCCTCCTCCTCCTCCTCCTCCTCCTCCTCCTCCTCAAGGTGCTCTCCTGGAACTCCAAATCCTCGACCACCAGGCCTTGCAGCGACATGCCCACGCGCAGGCTGTCCAGAAGACCCTGGCGCCGTGCGTGGTTCACGTCGAGCGTGGCCTTGCAGCACCGCCCGATGTCGACAAAGATGGCACGGTGAGAGATCCTCTGCACCACTCCTCGCAGAGAGGAAGGGGGAGGGGCGGGAGAGGGCGGGGGGGGGCGGAGGCGTAGGAGGCGGAGGGGGAATGGAGGGAGGGTGAGGAGATGGGGGTGAGGACAAGGATATGCTTGGGTGGAGGGAGACGGGGACATGCGCCCCTCCCCCTCCCTGATGTCACGAGTCGAGGGGGAGGGGAACGGGAAGGAACCGGCCGAGAGGCAGGGGGCTCCTCGCCCTGGCGCCTCTCCCCGCTTCCACCTCCGCCCCCCGCCCCCCCGCACCCCCTCCGCCTCCCGTCCCTTCCCCCTCCCCCCTCGTCCCTGACCCCTCCCCCCGTCTCCCTCCATCCCCCCCAATCCCCCCCCCAATCCTAATAAAACAGGGCTAGGATCAGGATAAATCGCTCCAGAGCGTTCCGGAGCGTTCTCAGAGCGTTCCGGAACGCTCTGGAGCGGCCGCGGCGCCCAATACATCCTCCAAACCCGCCGATTCTCAGAGATTTCGAGTTATCCCGATCCGATTTTGTCCCGATCTTCGCGTCGTTTTCAATCCCCCCCCCTCCTCCCCCCTTCCCACGCACGCGCACACGGCGCCTTCCACGGCGGTGCCGACCGCCAGCCCCAGCGAGGCCGCCAGCGCGTCCCGCTCCCACCGGGTGCTCCGCGCCGCCTCGGGGCGCTCCCGGCCGCCCAGGAGCTCGACGAGGGAGGACGCGTCGGCCTTCATGTGCTCGGGCACGTCGGCCTGGGCGAACACCACGAAGGCCTCTCGTCGGCGACGCGCAAGAGTGACCCTGGGCAAGAGTGGCCTCTCGTGCGCGGACTGACGCAAGGTGGCCAAATCCAAGGGCGCAGGCAGCCACTATCGCGTCGGGCTCAGCGGTCGGGGGGACCCCGGTGAGCCCGCACCAAAGGTCACTCCGGCGAAGGGTCACTCTTACGTGTAGCCGACTCGGGATCTCGCCAGCGGGAGGGCAGCGCGCCCGGGCCACGTGAAATGCGCCGGAGGGCTCACCGATGCACTGCCCCGAGAAAGGGTTCCCGAAATAGCGCTTCTGCCGAAGAGTGTTCTGCCACTTGTGCTGGAATCGCTTTGGTGTTGGCGTAGCTTCTCGTTGCCGTCGCTAGCTGGTAGCAGCCGTTGCCTGCTCTGCATTGCCACGGCTGCCCATCCCACCAGCCCTTTGGGCGCAGATGGTTTAACGAGGTGATGATGATTCGAACCTCCTCCTTGCCCTTCGGGGAGGGGCTACCGTTGTTCCCTATTGATGAACACCCTCTCCCCCCCCCGAACAGAACCCATGGGGGCACCCATCACCCATAGTCCCCACTATCTCTGCCAAGTTAAAATGCAAGATAGACTTTGCATCCATATCTGGAGCATGCGGGGAACCCTGCGACCGCTTTGCATGGTTTTTGACAGGGACCGCGGAGGTGCAGGCATATTGCTTGCTGCGCGCAGGCCAACATCCCCCACCATCCCTTGCAAACTACCCGAGAGGTACCCAACCCCGTCTCCACGCGAGGCAAATACTTGTATGAACGCTCCATACAAAATAGCAGATCGACAGATAATCACAATCTGCGCTGCCTTCATCTCCGCCGCGCCTCATAGGAGCCCACGAAAGTGGCGACAGTTGAACAGTTCATAGTTCCCCGAGGAACAACGAGGTCTCAAATGGGTTGGCGTGGCCCCCTGACTCCGCTAGACCTCCCAGAAGCTCACGAATATAGCGACGACGGTTGCGCAGCTCGCAGCATACCAGGAGCAGCGAGGTCTCAAATGGGTTCGTGTGGCCCCCAACTCCGCTGGACCTCCCACGAGCAACCGAAAGTGGCGACCGTTCTTCAGTACGCATCATATCGGGGAGCAGCGAGGTCCCGTCTGGGTCCGCGTGGCCCCGGACTCCGCTGGACCTCCCCAGGAGCCCACGAAAGTGGCGACGGTTGCGCAGTTCGCAGCCAGCCAGGGGGCAGCGACGTCCCGTCTGGGTCCGCGTGGTCCCTGACTCCGCTGGACCCCCCAGGAGTCCATGAAAGTGGCGACAGGTGCACAGTTCACAACCACCCAAGGAGCAGCGAGGCTCCGTCTGGGGCCGAATGGCCCACGAAAGTGGCGACAGTTGCACAGTTCGCAGCCACCCAAAGGGAAGCGAGGTTTCAAATGAGTCTGCGTAGCACCAACTCCGCTAGACCTCCCAGGAGCACACACGAAAGTGGCGACAGTTGAACAATTCGCTGCCACCCAAGGAACAGCGAGGTCCCGTCTGGGTCCGCGTGGCCCCCCGACTCCGCTGGACCTCCCAGGAGTCCGCGAAAGTGGTCACGTTTGCGCACTTCGCAGCCACCGCAGCCACCCATGGAGCAGCGAAGTCTCAAATGGGTGGCCCGTGACTCCGCTGGACCTTCCAGTCTTCCAGGAGCCCACGAACGTGGCGACAATTGCGCAGTTCGTAGCCACCGAGGGAGCAGCGAAGTCTCAAACGGGTTCGCGTGGCCAACCGAATCCGCTAGACCTCCCAGCAACTCACGAACATGGCGACGGCTGCGCAATTTACAACCACTCAGGGAGCAACGAGGTCCCGTCTGGGTCCGCGTGGCCCGCTTCTCCTGGACCTCCCAGGAGCCCACGAAAGTGGCGACAGTTGTGAAATTCGCAACCACCCAGCTAGCAGCGAGGTTCCGTCTGGGTCCCAGTGGCCCCGACTCGGCTGCACCCCCCAGGAGCTCATGAAAGTGGCAACAGTTGAACGGTTCGCAGCCACCCGGGGAGCAGCGACGTCTGGTCAGGGTCCGCGTGGCCCCCGACTCCGCTGGACCTCTCGGGAGCCCACGAAAGTGGCGACCGATGCGCGGTTCGCAGCCACCCGGTGAGCAGCGCAGGAGGAGGGAGGCAGGGAGGAAAAGAAGGGCGGGAGGAGAGGTTGGGACCACAGTGCTCTAGTCAAAATGAGAACGCAACAGAAGTTGGTTGGGAACAGCAATATGACGTGCATGCTGCACCACCATCTGGATCATGCGCGGACACCCCGCGATCACTTTGCACTGGTTATCGACATGGACGGGGCATCATGCTGCCTGCTGTGTACACTGCGAACGCCCCAAAACATCCCTCGCACGAAACAATGCAAAATGCGCTTTGCAGAAACATCGGGATCGTGCGCGGATGCCTCGCGCTGACACTGCCATGGTGTTGACATGGGTGGCGGGGGGGCCGCCATACTGTCTGCTGTGCGCAGGTCCACCATCCCTTTGAAAAGGGGGACGATCAACACGCTCATTTTGCCAAGGACGGAGGAGGAAGGGAATCAGCATACTGCCTGCTGCGTGCAAGCCCACCAAAAAAAACTGCAACGCGATCGTGGGCGCACACCCGCTCACAACAAACCAGCCGTCACTTTGCTTTGGTGTTTGACAGGGATGGTGTCGACAGATTGCCCAGTGTGGCGCACCTGGTGCGCATGGCGCAGCTGGCATGTGCGGCGCACCTCGCGGGCTTCGCGCACCTGGCTGGCGTCGGCATTGGTTCCCGATGGTTGTCGTTGGCGGCCTCTGTCCATGCTGAGGCTCGGATGCTACGTATGCGTTGGGAGGGCGGGAGGGAATGAGCGAGACGGCTTGTTGCTTGTGCCTCTTCCCTTACCCCTTCTCCATGAGCCTGGAGGGGAAGCGCCGAGAGGGGTTACAGCGTCTAAGATGGCCCAAGATGGCTCCACGACGGCCCCAAATAGCCCAGGATCGTCTCCAAGATCGCGCAATCTAGCCTCCAACATGCCTCCAAGAGGCGCCATGACCGCCCCGAGACGGTTCGAAGTAGCAGGGGAGCCCCAATAACCCTCCCCAGAGGTCAAGATCCTTCCAACATTGAAGCCTAAAGATGGCTCCTAGAGCGCCCCAATGAAGCTCCAGGACGGTCCCACAATCGCCTGGGCCCCCCCATTTGTTCGATTCTCCAAGATGGCCCCAAGAGGGCCCCCAATACGCCCCCAATAAGGCCCCAAGAGAGCCCCAAGAGGGTCCCAAGATGGCACCAATCGATCCCCAAATGCTTCCTACAAGGCCCCAAGATGCTTCCCTGCTTCGCTTTGCGATGGACGCGGGCTGCCGCCACCAGCCGCTACTAGAAATTGTGACGCGTGGTAGTTGCCGCCGCGGGCCACTTCCCTGGTTTGCAACTGGTGCTGGTTGGAGCCACTGACCGTTGTCCAGCCACGGATGAGGACTTCAATGGTTGCGGCCCACGCGCCGCTTGCACTGGAACCTGTACGTTTTGCCCTCCCCCCCACCCTCCACGCTACTTGAAGCGAGCCTCTTGTGGGCCGTTGGCGCCGCGCAGCTGGGGTACCAGCTGCTCCCGCAGGAACTGCTCCGAATACCGCCCCACTGCCTTGCTCTTCGTGCCGAAGAGCCTGAGGTACAGGGACGGGCACGTCCGATCCTGGAGGTCCAGGAGGAGGGCAAACACGCAGCAAGATGAAGAACAGCAGCAAGGTTTAACGTTCAACGGGGATGCTGATGCTGCTGCTGATGATGATGACGATGGTGATGATGATGACGATGATGATGACGATGATGCTGCTGATGCTGATGATGATGCTGATGCTGATGATGCTGATGATGATGCTGCTGATGATGCTGATGCTGATGATGATGCTGCTGCTGATGATGATGATGATGCTGCTGATGATGACGATGATCAGGAGCCGGAGCAGGAGCAGGAGCAGGAGGAGGAGGAATGAGGAGGCGAAGGAGTGAGGATGAGCGAAGAGGAGGAAGGGGAGCAGGAGAAGCCAGGATGACAGGAGGGCGAGGCACTGGGCCGCGAGGCGAGGGCAGGCAGGCGTCACTCCTGGCTGGCCCAGCCGGACGCGAGGTCGCCGCACCAGCCGTCTTCGTTGGCGGTGTGGATCCACGCCAAGCAGAAGCGGTGCCTCTGGAGAGGGGCCTCCTCCTCCTCCGCCGCTCATCCTCAGATTCGTTCATCCTCCTGCTGCTGCTGCTGCTGCTCTTCCTGATGCCGTTTCGCCCCAAGCTCCTCCTCCTCCTCCTCCTCCTCCTCCTCCTCCTCCTCCTCCTCCTCCTCCTCCTCCTCTTCCTCATCGCTCCTACTCCTTCTCCTTTCCTCCTCCTCGCTCGTCGCACCTCCTCCTCCTCCTCCTCTTCCTCCTTCGTATTCCTCCTCCTCCTTCTCCTCTACACTGCTCCTCCTCTTCCCTACCCTCACCCATCCCCTCCCCCCATTCATCCTCTCTGTGCTCCTCCTTCATCCTCCACCTCACGTCCCCCTCTTGCTCCTCCTTCCCCCTCTGCCTTCCCCTCTTCCCCCGCCCCGTTTCGAAGCCATTCGCAGGATGTAGTCCAAGGGAACGCTTAGGAACTCGAGTTGTTACGGCATCCTTCTTGGAGCAGCGGCTACGGGGTCGCCTGCAAGATAAATGGACATTGCATTGGCACATCTTGGAACAAACCAATTAATTCAATCTTTGGACGCCCGGAATGGGTACGGAAAAAACTCTACAACGCCCAACACTAAAAATTGCCCACCACCATCAGCGGCCACAGTTGGGCAGGCAGTCTTTCTGCTTCAAATGGACAACGACCGCGGCGACACGGGCCGCGAGTCCTCTTCAAAATGATCAGGAACTGCTGTCGGTCTTGTGCCCATTCGTTATGTATCCATTCGATCGTCCCGACAATCGTTGCTTGTTTCCCCGTGGCGGGCAATGACTGGCAGGAAACCCGGCGCTATGATGAGTGGCAACTGTGGGGCTCCAAGGCTGCACAGAGAGAATCAAGCGTGGTCGCAAACCTCTTTCGCTGCTTTCCGGACGACAGAACAGTAGCCTTTGCTGAGAGGCATTGTATAGGACGAACCTGATGTCATGATGCGGTTAGCTCAAGATGCTTTCCAGAATTTCCTGGGCATCTAGCGGCCCTCGTTTCTGAAACCATAAGGAAAATTCAGGAACCCAGGAAATCTTTGAAATCTACACAAGTGGAACAGCCAGTATCAGGGACTCTTGCTTTTCTGAATGGATTACTTCTGAACTCGGTTGGATTGTCGGGTTAGGGCGAGGCAGCAATAATATCGGCCAGGCCCGACACGTACTGGGCCTCGTGTGAAGACAATGCCTTCGACTGCTAACAATATTTGTACACTGTTTTAGCCGTCCTGGCGACCACTACATGACAATTCAGTTCCATTCCACTGCCTCCCTGCTCCCCCCCTCCGTTCCGTCCGTTCCCCCCCCCCGTTCCTTCACCATCCCGCCCCTTCACCATCCCGCCCCTCCCCCTTCCCCTACTCCTATTCCCCCTCCCCATCGTCGCCCCCCCCCCCCCCCTTTCCTCCTTCACCATCCCCCTATTCCCTCTTCCCCTCCTCCTGCTCCCCCTCCCCAAAACGTCGTCCCCCCCCCCCCCGCCCGCCGTCCCGTTCCTCCCCCCCGCTCCTCCACCACCACCACCCTATTCCCTCCCCCCTCCTCCTCCTCCTCCTCCTCCTCCTCCTCCTCCTCCTCCTCCTCCTCCTCCTCCTCCTCCTCCTCCTCCCCTCCCCCTCCCCCTCCCCCTCCCCATCGTCGCCCCCCCCCCCCACACTCCTGCTGCTGCTGCTGCTGCTGCTGCCCCCTCTCGAGGGGGCGGCGGCCTCCGGAGGCAGGCCAGCGCCGGGGGGCTCCCGTGCCAGGAGCTGTGCCGGAACTCGAAGGCGTGCGCCACGTCGCGGGGCAGCCACGGCGCGAGGGCCTCCGCGCCCGCGGGGAGGCGAGGGGGGAGGCTGCGGAATGGGGGAGGCTGCGCGCGCCCGCGGGGAGGCGAGGGGGGAGGCTGCGGGATGGGGGAGGCTGCGGGATAGGGGGAGGGAGGGGGGAGAGGCTGCGGAATGGGGGAGGCTACGGAATGGGGGGGAGGGAGGGGAGACTGCGGGATGGGGCTGGCGGGGGCGGGCGGGAGAGCGGGGGGAGGGGGGGGGGAGGCTGCGGGATGGTAGGGTAGGATAGGACGGCGCCTCAAGAACTCCGAGACGGAAGGGCCTGGCCAGCTGAACAAGGCATCGGGGGGAGAGGGGGGGGGGTGCAAGCTAGATGCGCTCGCGCCGAATCTGACGTCCCAGCCCTGCCTCCCATCCAGTCCCACTGCACGGACGTTTGCTCGATCCGCGGACGCGAGTCACAGCCGGCCTGGAACTCCGAAGAAGACCCCATCGTGTTCTGCGCAATCGGGCAGAAAGGGAGCTACGCAACATTGGAAGAGGCAGTGTATGAGCGGGGGCATGAGCAGGAAGAACTCCACTGACACCGAAGCTCCGAGGATCTTGGGAGAAGACCCGGGGCCCCCCTCTCAAAACAAAACCTCGGCACTCTTTGACAGGAGGGCGCCAACGACTGTGCCCTTCGGCAAACGTCGGCTCACGGCCGATCTCTCCCACAAGCTGGCTGCTGCGTGCTGCGCTACTCTTGACTTGCTACCTGAGTTTGCCCCAGAACCTCGGGCCAGCGCGCACCCCGCGAAGCCGAACGGCACCCGGAGCACCGCGGCCCGCGACGCCCCGCCCGAGCTGCCTCAGTCCCGCGCGAGCAGCTCCCGCATCCCCTCCGGCAGCGTCGGCCCCCACTCGCCTCCGCCGCCCCGGCGAGCGACGTACGGGAAGCCCTCCATGCACGCGCAGTCCGCCCCCATCGCCGGCGGGAGGGGGCCTCGATTGCGGGGGGGCCCACGACGGGGATCTCCGCCAAAGACCCGCGCCTTCTCCATGAGGCAGCGGGTGGCCAAGACCGCGGCGTTGGTGGTCATTTGCGCCTGTGTGCTACTCTACTTTGCAGGGGCAACAGTAGCCTGCTCCTCGAACTCGAGGTAGACAGCCTGTCTTGGGCCAGTAGAAGCAAGAGCCTCATCGCTATCCATCATCAGCGAAACGTCAGCTTTCTCGAGCGCAAGTTCTGAAATCGCAATCATCATCCCGCGCGCCGTGGATTCGAGCAGGCGTCCGGTCCGAAAAAGATTTGGTCAGAAGTTGGGGCTGCAGGCTGCCTGCAGCAAACGCAACGTGAAGCCTGCAAAGGACTGCCTGCTGCTCCTGGTGGCCGCGCGGAACGACCACGAACGCGGCGTGGGTAAGCATGAAACTGTCGAGGGCTCCGAGGCCGTGGCCCCTTGTTTCCCTTCGCGCGGGGGAGATACGGTAGAGGGGAACAAGTACTGAACACTCCCCACCCCCCCAAACTCAATGTTGGCACGCGCGGGGGAGACTGCGGTCGAAGTGCGTCTCATCAGACCCACCACCAACTTTTAACATTTGGGGGGAGGGGGTGGGGGCGTTGACGGATGAATGTGGCATGTGTTCGCTAATTTGTTCCGAGGCCTGTACTTCTGATTCTTGGCATGTTTTACGTGAATCGGGTCGGCAACTTTGACGGTGAACTGGTCGCACGCGCCGCCTCCAGGAGGCAGCTTCTCTGGGCACCCACGACGCCCAACTTGATGCCAAGGTCGACCTTTTTTCTCGAGAATCCCGCCTTCGACTGCGATGCGCTTGCGCGCCTGGGCACCTGGATCTGCGGGGGCCGCGTCCGCAGGCTTCCCTCCCAACTTTCAAAAGTGAGCGACCCACTGATCGCCCAAGAGTGCGAAGGCATGCCGCGTGGGCATAAGCACGAAGAGTGCACCCGATGACTGAAATAACAACAAGACCTCTGGACCTCGGACACGCTCTGTTCACTCAGCTACGCATCAGATGTTCCCTAGCAGTGGGCTTCGTCGAATCTATATGCCCACGTCGCATCGACGCCGTAGGAACCGTAACAGCTCGAGTCCAAGGCTCTGTAACCGTCGTCGGGGTTCAGAGCGTTAGCCGGGCGAAAGAAAAGCTGGCGATTGGAGAGGGGGGCTGCGCCGAACATACCTCGCCCCTTTCAGTGTGATGTCACGGGCGAGCCCTGGGGAGCGGCGGCGGAGGAGCAGAGCAGGGGGGGGGGGGAACCAGGAGAGACGGACGGACGTATCGGTTGACCTAGGAACTCGCAGGCCAAGATGCGGGGTCAGAGTTAAGGGGGGCGTGCCGAACTGCTTCGTCGCAAATTATCGCGGGAGGTCTCGCTGACGCCAGGTCGCTGCGCACGCGTCCTTCGCGAGAACGGCAAAGGTCGGTTATGCCATCCTGCGTCAACTTCCATCACCCCCTATCGGGGCCCACCATCTAACCCTTCCCAAACAATGGACATGAACTGCTGATCTCCCCAAAGGCTCTCCCCGAGCATTGCGCCCCGCAGCTGGAGATTACGAAAGGGGCGGCGAACCGCGCCCTGCCGCCATTTAAGCCGCTGCGCGCGTGACGTGAGAGACACCGACACCATAATCATCTGCAGTAGACGCAGCACCTGCGAATCAGATATTCAAGGTATTCTGAGTTTCCTCTCTCTCTCTCTCGCACTTGCTCCTCCCACTCGCCTCGCCGCGCAACAGACGTCGAGCCAGTTTCGCTTGGGCACCGTCGACCTTGTGCACTATCGCTGAAACAACACCATCGAGACTAATCTATGGGCGGGCCCCCTCGGCAACAGATTCGAACACAATGCCATTGCACCAGCGATTGGTGCAATCTTGCCAGAACCCCAGGAGCAAATTGTTGCCGAAACGCGCTTTCTGGACGCGTCTGGGGGCCTCCAAGAGAAATAACTACCACCAGCCTGGAGCGCGGGCCCTAACTACCTGCAGCTGCGAACAACTTCGGAGGAGGAGGAGGGGCACCCCGCGAGTTAGCGCAGCAGGTCAGCCATCCCTCCCCTGGCGAGCAGCACGCGGGCACGCCCTTGCGGCGGCCTTGGCTGCGAAGCCGCTGCTCTGACCTCCCCCAGGCGGCAAGAATTAAACGCGGAGAATTTCATGTCAGAGGCGACTGCGCCGGCATGCGTGTACTGTCGAGAGGACAGAGCGACGAGGGGGGCCACAGATGCGGAAGGAAACAAAAAAGGCGCCCAATAACCCCGCCCAGGAGGCAGGGACGGCATCAGCTGCCTAACGGTTGGGGCGATGACAGGGCATTCAAAGTAGTGGGCGATGCTGTCAGCACCGAAGTTGCAACACCCAAAGACACAGAAAGAGGTCGGCTGCCTAAAGCGCTTACTTGTGGGCCAGCCATTGAACGCGGTTATTAGGACGCACGTAATTATGAAAATAGGTAGGCGCCTACTCAGAACTTGAAGTCGAATGACGGCGGTGTCGGCGTCAGCAATGGAGGCCTCGGGGGTCCAGTCGCGAAGCCTGTCGATCAATGAGGGGCCCATGGGAACCTGCGGCTGCTGCTGGAGGAGGCATCTCGTGATGGCGCTCTGGAAGGTCTTGTTGGGGACAATCATAGGAGCAGAGGAAGGGGCGGTGAACGAGTCGTAGACTTGGGACACCTGATGAAAAATGGAGAGCTGATAGCCAGGGCTCCACCTGTAGGCAATCACAGCGTCGTCCCCAGCTTCTACGTTTGCCAACTCATCTCGTAGCCGGCGGAATTCATCAGATCGGATATCACATCGAGTATACTGGCCCTACACAGGATCTCGAGCGAACGGCATTCAACTGGGAGGCCGAGGGACTTGAGGTGGCGCATTGCTTTCGGAGGGGATGAATACCGAGGAGCACGTGGGAGGAGCCGATGAACTTCCCTCTCCTCGTTGAGAAGAGACTTGCTCGGAGGGTAGAACTGGCCGACGTGCGAGGCCACGGGTAGGGCGTAAACATTGTGGCCCTGCAGCGACTGTGTGAGACTGAGCCCTGAACTCCGTGCCTCCTCGGTCCTGGAACGAAGCACGACGCGAACGGGTTCCCAGGCGCGTTCTTGGCCTTCTTTGCCCACCACGATCCCGAGAAGCTCCCCAGAGGACTGGATCCTGAACGCCCTGGCGTTCAGCCCGTGGACACGAAACTTCCGAATGGTCTCATCATCCGAGGAGGCGTGGAGCACGACGATCACACACTTGGCCAGATTCAGCGAGAGGCCCGTGATGCCACTGCACGCGACGTGACGCTTCATCACGTGGGGCAGCGAGCAAAACAGGTCACGCGAGATCATATAGATGTCATCTGCGAACGCGCCCAGCTCGAAGGGGGGCCTGGGCTGGAGCTGCAGCAGGTGCCGCAATATTGGATCTAGCGCGAGCGCGAACAATACACCACTCAATAGGCAACCATGTTTCATACCCCGATTGGCCCAATAACCGTGACCCCCCCAATTCCCAAAGAAAATGAACGTCCAGACCTGCTGGTAAAGGAAAAAACCGCTTGCCTGAGAAAACTCGGAAGGCCCATGGACAAGAGCACGTAGAAGATCCACGAGTGGTAAACGCTCGGGAACGCATTCTTAAAATCGAAGAGGGTGAGCCCGCAGTAGAGCTCACGCTGCACGTACCCCCAAACGGAGAGCAACACATCCATGTTTATGATGTTGTCATTCATCATCCGACCACGAACGGAACCACGCTGGACGACATGACAGCGATCGGCGGCGACTTCATTAAGGACGCTGGTAATAGCGTTGCTAACGACTTTGTTGTCAGTGTTGGAGAGAGAGAGAGAGAGAGAGAGGACGAATGGCAGTTGGGTCTCGAAATTCCTCCCCCCTGGTTCACCAGATCACCTTTCGGCAAGAACACGGCACGACGATAATTGAACTCTGTTGTGAGAGGATGGCCTTGCATCACGTGCAAGTAGAGATTATATCATACTGAACGAACTCGAGGACCTGACTGCTGCCAGACCGAGTACGGGATGCCATCAGGGCCCGCAACGGAGCCTTTCTTCAGATCCAAAAGCTCGAGGGACTTCGTTTCGGAGAGAACCCAATCGAAGTGCTGGTGGGTACTATTAACAAACTGCTCGGGATTCGGCTCGATTTTCCGGATAAGTTCGAACAGTGGATGAACCTCAGGGATCGGGACCTCGTCAGAATTGTCAAACACTTTTCCCCAGAATTCGGCTAGTGCCGCAGCAGCTTCGTTCGGGTCGAAAAAACTTCCTGCTGGGGCCCAAGAGCGCCAACATGACGAATACGCGGGCGCTGGGCAGCCCAGGCGGCAGAAAGACGTCGAACGCGCTGGATGGCAAGTTCTGCAGCGGCCTCACCAGCCTGCAGGAGGAGGAGGAGGAGGAGGAGGAGGAGGAGGAGGAGGAGGAGGAGGAGGAGGAGGAAGGGGATACATCGACCTGTCCGGGGCGTTTTTGTGTTGAGCGCGTGGGCCGAAACGGCGTCAGCGCAGTTGCCGACAGAGGGCGCGCATGCCATGCGCCCCGTCTGGGGCGCGTTTGGGCAGGCGCGGGCAAGTCCGCAGCGGCCCAGGCATCCATGGCGGAAGACCGCCGCCCATGGTTTTGACGCCGTCTCCAGGCGAGCGATGCCTCGCGCCGACGCCCTGCATGCGCGCCCGTGGCCGGGCGCGCGAAACATTCTGAGAGGCCACACGACGGCCTGGGAACGCGCGCAGGCGCGCTCGCCAGCACCCCCACCCATCCACCACATTGCGGAGGGGAGGAATACTGGCTCTGGCCCGATTGGAAACGACGCCGCCGCGGGGGCTCGAGCCAAAATGGCGACGGACCCCGTGTCCCCACGCTCACCTTTCCTCCCCCTCCTCAGCTCACCATCGCCCCCCCCATTGACCCCGCAGGGAACTCGCCTCCCGCCTCAGTCCTCGTTCACATCTTCATTCCCTCGCCACCCCCCTGCTCTCCTCCTCCCCCCCGCCGTCCGTTCGCCCATCCCCCTCCGCGCTCCTATGTCATTCCTTCTGTTCTCCCCGCTCTCACGGCCAACCTTTTCGCCGATTCTATCGGCGGCTGGGAGCGAAGCCCCAGGTCACCGAGGCCGCAGAAATTCCGGGGGGTCATGGGGCGGCTTCCTATGGCCCGATCGGTGTATTCAATTTCGGCGGGCCGTTTTGCCTGATACCTTCTCATATTTGCGTCGTCCCGAAATTCAATACACCAATCGGGCCTTGGATTTTTTCCTATAGTTCTCTCATTTTCCAAAGTCCCCCGCGGCCATGGAAAGTAGGCGAACGCATGTGGACGCCCAAGCTGGGACTGCAGGCGAAGCTCCACATGGGGCATAATCTGAATGAGACGTGCGACGACATTGCCAGGGGTGGGGGGGCCTCCGCGCCAGGGCCATGCGCGGAGCTGCCACACGGAGCGCGATTTGTTCAAACGGAAGCACACGTTTGCACGAATACGCCACACGCATTCATGACTGCCCCTACTGGGTTCGCAGGTGGCACTCCCAGTGGGATGCCATCCGCTTGACAAGGCGTGCCGAAACGGGCGCGGAGACTTCATGGGAACTCCAACTGGGGCCCGAAGTGCACGGCCGCGATCTCCCCGAGGGGCGTGCCGACGCGGGCACGAAGACGCAAGTGGAGCGCCCCCGCGAAGGCCGTGGGCGGAGTTCCCTCAATGGCGCGAGCCACGGGAAGGGCGCGCCGCTATGGCTGTGGACACGCTCCGCGGGCGCCCTCCCTGGGCCTGGGGGTGGAGCCCACTGCGCGCCACAGTCCGCGCGAGGGTCGCGCCGAACGGACCGCGGAGACGCTTTAGGTACGACGCTGCTGGGACCGCGGATGAAGCCCCCCCAATTGGGTCGCGATCCGTGCGATGAGCTTGCCGAACTGATCACGACGTTCGCAGCAACGGCAGCGGATGGCATCGACGGTCCACCAGCACCATGCAGCAGGCAACGCAGCAGAGGCGGCTGCGAGCGGATGAGGGCGGGGGGAGGCGGATAGAGGAGGAGGAAGGAGCGCAGCGAAAGTAACACAAAACACCTACCAACAAAATAATATCGGAAAACCAAGCGGCACCGAGAACAACTCCCTGCTATAAATTCTTAAATCTGGGAAATGGATTGGTGTATATATACAAAAGGAACTGGGAGGTGAGAGGGCATTCACGGAATTCATCCTGACGAGACTCCTGCGTGTAAGCTCAGACCCTGGTTAAGCAGTCAGGCTCCGCGGAACGTCCATGCCATCTTTGGACGGGAGGCTCCTCGCCAGCCTGCGCACGACGTTCTGTTTCCCCGTCTGACTGGGGCACGGGGGGCAGGCAGGCTGTGCAACGCTCAACACGGATTCCCCCCCCCCAAACATGGAGGAGCGAGGGGTTAGGAGGATGAGGAGGAGGAGGCGGATGATAATGATGATGATGATGATGATGATGATGATGATGATGATGATGATGATGATGATGATGATGCTGATGCTGATGCTGATGCTGATGCTGATGCTGATGATGATGATGATGATGATGATGATGATGATGATGATGATGATGGTGGTGATGATAAGGAGGAGGAGGAGGAGGAGGAGGAGGAGGAGGAGGAGGAGGAGGAGGATGATGGGGGAGGAGGATGGGGGAGAGGGAGCCGCAGCGGCGGCGCCAGGAGAGGGAGCACGAGCGGGAGCAGGGCGGAGGAGGACGAGGGCGGCGGGCCGGGGAGGCCGAGGCCGTGGAGGGACGGAGGCGGGGGGGAGCCACGAAACGCTGTACGGGGCGTGGCGGACGCGTGCGGGCGGTCCCACTGGGACCTTCGCTGGGGCTCCCTTTAGGGCCACGGAGCGCTGTACTGGGTCGGGGGGGCGC